CTTAGTCAGCTCAATTTTTCTCAATGAAAGCGCTACATAATAATTGAGAAATTAATATTTGATTGTTATGAATTGGCAAAATTGAAAAAGAGGTCACGAGGTTGATGCTTTCGCATTCAGATGTCACCTCACCCACTTAGTCATTATCTGTCGCGATCGATACATTTATTCATCTGTTTGATTTATTCGGCATATTTATCCTTTACTGCCCCAAACATCAAGAATCAAGCCGGATTTTAATCGAAATTTATCCATGACTAAGCATTTGGCTAGAAAGCTTGTCTAGGGTATTTTGACCCGTAGAACACGAATATTTTGTCCGGTTTAGCGCGAAAACGCTTGGCGCCCGCGCCACAGGCGCCGGCGCTATCACAACAGTTTTGCGCGGGCGCTCGTAGCGCAGGCTACAGGCTCACTCGTAACAAACTGATGTGATATTCATGTTCTACGGGTCAAAATACCTCTGAAGACAAGTTTCCAGCGAATTTGGGACTCAAGGCGTTCTGGCGCCTTTTGGCGCCGAAATGTGGCGCGGGCAAGCGTTCCGCGCTAAACGAGTATGATATTCGTGTTCTACGGGTCAACTTACCCCTAGAAGACAACTTTCTAGCCAAATTAGTAGTGGAAAAAATTTCGATAAAAATCCGGCTCAGTTCTGAAGGAGTGGGGCAGTAAAGGGTAAATAGTGCCGTTTGTTCATTTATTGCGCGAAAGAGGCGCCAATAGTATATACTACCCATCTGCACACCCTTTCTATCGCCTGTACTCCTGTGAGCACAAACCTCTCAAAGCCACCATATGCGTCCTTTCGAGCCTCCTATACCGCATATAAAGGCCATTCTATTTCCATGCATAGGGCGCAACAACGTTGCCAGTGACCTGACCCTTTCCTACAACACTTGTCAGTTGCTATCAATCGCTATCATCCCATTGTCCCTGTTCCCGTGTACATTCGTAGTGGCGTTTGAATGCTATGTGGCCTACACAATGACTTGCGGGATGTAGAATTCAGTGCTTTTTTATCCTCCCGGAGAGGATAAAAAAGAATGAATAGCGCCAGCGCCGAGAATGAATGTCATGTCCTCCTTACGGATATGGCATTCGCTGGCGCTATTTGGCGCCTATTTTCTGCTCGTATGCGCTCTCACCGAGAATATGCGTTGAACAACGCTAGTGCTAAAAAAGGATGTCATATTTGTAAGCAGGGCACTAAATAACCCCTATGCAGAAGTATTACATCGTATGTTTGAGGGAGGCTCAGTTGTGCAACTTTGAAGTTCCAAAATTCTTCTGAAATCGAAGATGAAGAGTAGCCATGTATTATGGATTCGGAATTAAGCACTAAGTGGAATTTGTGAGTCACAGAAGTAATGAAAAATGGTTGAGGGGGAGCTCAAAACCGTTGGGCATACCCGGCGATGCACAAATATCAGATGCGGAGTTTCGGCGTGTTTGTATGGCAACGCACGCGGTCTGTAATGTTTTATTCAGCAACACTTCAAAAAGTACAGATAAAAATGTGTAGTATTAAGGTAGCCGTACGGCCTTGAAAGAAATGGCGCGGTAAAGAGTGAGTTTCTCGCAGTTTCTGAGCACTATCGCAAACTAAATGATTCGTTTCAGCATATGTGAGTTCGTATTGTCACATGGTTATCCGCATGTAATCGCTCCACTTCTAATTACTTGTGGGAAAAGGTTACAATTTAAATTAATTGTCTTCCTTTCAGGCTTCCTGCTTTGAGATAACTAACGGGCTTAGCTTGAACAACAACTCGAACAAATTGCAATATCATGGATACATACTATAATACAAGGGCGGCAAAAATTACAAGTATAATTTAAGGGCATTAAAGTACAATTTGCCCATGTTGCACTTCAGCCTTTTTTTTCGTCATAGAGATTGCTTTCGTTGACGGAAGTCTCACGGCAGACTTTTTATTTCTCAAGTGTTTTCTCTTTATGATTAGGCACAAGCTCTCCTTTATTACCCTCACCCTCTTTAGAATATGAGCCGTCTGCTATCGTCGTCGAATTTGAGGGGACTACTGTAAGTGCTCCAGCCTGAACCTCTACCATAAATTCTCGAAACGATTTATCTTTGAATAGCTTTTTACAAACAGAGGCATTAGCTCCTTCTATGCAAACCCCTCCGAAACCGCGTCACAGAAACGTGTAACGGTTGAGCTTAACCAGTACACCATACTCCCGAAGCAAATTTTTCTGATGCCGTCTAGGAGGCCATCATTTTTTTTTCATATAAAACAGAATGTGCTCTTCAGAACTCTATTGAAAGCATTCAGTTTGATTCTTTAAAAGTGTGACCGAATTCATTTGAATAAAGAGGCAAGATGTCTTTTTATCGCCCATCTCGCTCCTCCCACCCTGTAAGGCGTACTACAGGCCACGTGAAACCGTGCAGGAAAATTCTTTACCTCCTACCCATTTTTTGCGCAATTTATTTGCTGTTTTTTTTGTTTTCATTCATTACGCCTGACCTAAACCTTGCTTTGGACCTACTTAGACTTAGTTCCTCCCGTGCTGAGCAGCACATCGGGCGACGAATTCTTTCCACTGTTGCCGGTCTTGTGCAATCATTTCTCCTTCACTTCCTAGAAACATTCATGATCTTGAAATCATTCTCGAACCTCTACGTGTTTCTGGGACGGCTTCTTCCTCGCTTGGCGCCTGCAGTTATCCACCTCATGGCCACCCTTGGAACTCATTGTTGAAAAATAAAAATACCTTGTCTAAGACCTATGTATTGACGACGTGGCTGTGGACTGGTCAGATATGCTTTAGTTCGAAGGCCTTCTAAGCTTTGAAAAATTTTCATTGATGTCCGTCGTTTTCTTTTAATTCTTGATAAGGCGCCACTTCCCCTGAAGCGTCACTTATCCTCGCACTGGGTAGTCCCCTACCCAATCGACTAAGTATCGTGGCTAGTGCTCTATTCATTTTAGCACTACCCATACTTCTTCCGACTGGACTCGTGGAGAAATTTGTAGCCTCTGAAGGTGCTAACAAAAAGCCTGTAGATTCTTAAGGACTTAATTGTGGAAGTGGCCGATAGTGCTACTTCTCACAGGCTAATTTCAGCAATGTCATTCAGCCTTTCGCAAAAAGTTAAAATTGCCTAAATTTCTCACGATCTTCAATTGCGCGTGAGGCTTAACAAGGCCAATGTTTACGTCTAAACAGTAATGAGATTGTGTCATTTGTCTGTGCTCGCAGGGATTGGCTGTACAGTATCCGCGAATATTTCGGAGGGGCAAACCTTCCTCGACGTTCCGCTTAACTTGTAGAGCTAAACTTTAACTCAATCAATGGCAAAAAGCGCCTTTGCTCTCGTTGCAGTGGGCAGCTAAGTCACTCAACCTGAAGCGACAGCGCCCCCAAAACCCAGATGATTCGAAAGGGTCACTCTGAAGTTCTGGCCGCGTCTCGAGAATGTCTCAAGTACATCGTTCATCATGTTAAATTATGCGGATAAACGGCAGTTAGAAACAAAAGAGCTGAAACGAGCTACGTTTGAAGCACAGAAGTGAATCGATGGGTGATTTGCCGCTGGTATTAGCTCAGGGTTACCTATAATAATGAAACGGTGCAGCGAAAAATTATTACTAAAAATATCTATTTGTAACATTCAAAAAAGACTTCTAGGAATAAAAAATAGTTTGCACAGGAGAAGGCGGAGAATTTGCCCTTCTAACACGAGCCTAACTCCGGTGAAAAGGGTTTTTGGTGGGGATGGGAGGGAAGGAACACTCCCTTTTATCTCTTCCTTACTACTGAAGAACACTTCTTGAGTTTCTCTAGTGCAAGGGTAAGATAATGCGTGAAGGGCACCTTGGAAGGGTACTTTTAATAAACGGCGTCAATTAAGTATTTAATCATTACCCTGGTGCTCCACACTCTTTGAAGTAGGCGAAGGTGTCCATTTCAGTGATCCAGGACCGTTTCCTTGGACCATGGCAGGCAGGAAATGTGAAAGCATCTCAGGTTTCTTTCCACATTACACCGATACTTATCAGAACTCCAGTAGAGTCTATTACGTGTCGTGAGCGCTGTTATTCTTATCTTTGATTTGGAGAGCACAACGGAGTTCCTTCTGCTAACTCTAGTCCCACTGACCTCTCGGCTATCAAGCTACTGGCATCGTTCATCAGTTGAGTAATACTAGTGAGCCCCTCTTTTTACAATGCCTAAAAAAGCCTGTGTGAACCTGTGGCTTTGCTTGCAGATAAAAAAATATAGATGCCTGCAGCAGGTATGGAATAACTGCTTCAACCACCACTCAAAGGTTTATATGTCTATCTCCAACTACCACTTCGACCTACCAACTTTCCTGGCCAAAGCTAAAGATTTCGCTCTTATAGAGCGTCATTCCTTTGAACAGAGAAACAGTGATAGTTTCCTTTCTATCGAGGAACGTAACCCAAAAGCCTAAAGAATGCTTACCGAAGATTGCTGAAATCGTCGCATAGGGTGGATAAACTTCATCGAGAAATCTATGAAAGATGGGCCAACCCCTATAGTGCCGATGTTGGACAAGTCAGAAAATAGTGTAGACTAGGTCGTCGAAAAAATCAGTACTGGAACGGGTATGGTTACACTACGGAGCGCTCCAAACAAATGATATCCCCATCACAAATGGCCAAATGATCGAAGGAAAAGGACAAACGCGCTGCGTAATAGGTAATGAACAGAACTACAACTCAACACAACCGAATGCTGATCTTCTGAAGCCTATCATCCCGTTCCTTTTTTCTTCCGACAAAAGTCATGGAACAAATTTTCTTCATTCCCTTTGATGTTTTTCACGAGCTCTTTCATTAACAATACAGCACAGCATCACACCTTCCTAGTTTCTCTTGAACTGCCGATAAGGGAGAATCACTGAAAGGGGTACCGCCTCTTGATGCCTGCTACACGTGAACTTTTTTGGAGAAATTCGCGTTAGGAAAGATTCAGATATTTGACTATGGTTTTTTTAAGGACTGATGAATGTACAACAAATGGTTTCCTATTGTTCCACGGGTATAATCATTTTTGGAGCAGTAATGAATATTATCTTTATCTATGTGATAAGGAACGGAACAAGGACCTGTGTTGGTCGAGTCTACAAAAATATCATGACATGTTTCGCAGTGTGCAATATCGGCTTTATAATAATGGAATTCATTGCCAAGCCTGTAGGTTGCCTTATATATTCCAAAGCATTCAGTAAAGACTAGTGAGAGAAGTTGATCAAGTGTTCTGATCATGCTTCATCGTCGGAGCATATCAGGTCTTTGTTTCCAATGTTTTGACGCATCGTTTCGTGTTGATCTAGGGTATCCACATATACGGCACATCTATAGCGGTAGTCAGCAATGGTATCTTTCAACGAGTGAAACCATGGGGTTTTCTTTCGCTCTGTGTATTTCTAGGAATGTATGGTGTCACAACCGCCCTTCTAGCGTTTCATTTTGTCTACAGATATATCGTCGTTTGCAAGTCAGTATTTTGTTTGGCTACTACTCCTAAGAAATTTTGTCGGCTGCATAAAATAAGCGAACAGATAAAGTCTAATCTCAGTACACATACTCTTCTTCTGACCATAAATTGATAAGTTCAGGCCACATTTGCTTCGTGTATTTCATGAACCAGTCTGCATCGTTACCGTGACTGTATGTGTTCTTTCTTGGGGTTCTGCATATGGCATCATAACGTTCTATTGCTTTGCCTCCAGCGACAACTACTACAATTATGCAAATGCGTCTATTTATGCAAAATTCGGAGTGGATGCCAACAGACTGTCCTACTTCTGCGTCTTTACCCATGTAAGTTTTGAGTGTTCTGAAGTGAATCATTCACCATGAAATGAGGTTACTTTCAGGAAGTGAAAAGAAGATGTTACAATAATTAATTGGCCCTCAACAATAGGCCTGTTCATAGTTTTTATTATGATGGTATTCACGTTTGCCCTGATGATATTCTGCGGCTTTCAAATGTACCGGACACTAAAGAAATCTTCCATGAGTCAGAAGTCAATGAAGTTGCAGACTCAATTGTTGAAAGCGTTAGTTGTACAGGTAGGGCTCTTCATGATGACTTGTTTATTCTTCGTCTTCGAGGAAATGTATTCAGGCAGTCATCCCTTTTTTCACTTCATATCTTATCTCGAATCGTTATGTATACGAGCGTCATTATGGGACTTCGTCCATCTCCGTAAGTGAAACTACGTGTTGGTTATTTGGTTTGAGGCCTTCTACCGAACATGAATGAATACTCGTTGGAATATTTTATATCCAAATTGGGCTGGCGAATTTCGAGCTATGGATTCTATAATCTAATCTAGTGGGACCTTTCGAGTATACATGTGACCATGAGATGCGGCTTTTTGCTTCAACAGATGCGTAGGTGCTATAATAGTGATTTCTGTGCAATTTCTATGCAATTTCGATTTTATAATTTTAATTGTTTATTCGCTGGACTGATTATTTTATGTTCACCATCTATGTTTCCACTATCTTTGGGTAGCCTTTCAGTGCATCTTTTTCAAAACGTGGCATTCCCCGCTGTATGTGGTATTTGTTTAGTACTTGGCCTGGACAATATGCTGGGCAGAGAAGGGTCTTGTAGCTCAACTCCAAAATTCTCTAGTGGGCGCACCTTGTGAACTCCTATGAACCAATATTGCGAACATGACAAACATTGTCGCGTCACGGCTAATGCTGCAATAATGCAGAGCGCCAAAATTCCAGTGTGGAGAATTTCCAGTTGAGCTTCCCTATCGTGTCAGTAACAGAGAGTGACGCGCAGCTCTGAAAGAAACTACTCAAATTCGAAGGCGTTGTTGCACATTCGAGGAAGGAATAACTTTAACATTGCACTAATTAAAACTTTTATTCAATCGCCGTAACATCGCAAATTTTCCTATCAAATTAGCTATACAGACTGAAGAAACTTTACATAAGAATCTTTCCGGATCTCTGTGGTCCCACCCTCCAAAATCGCTCGGTCGTCCAACAAGTGCTTAAAGCTGAAGCTTAATGTATTTGTTGCGTTCGCAAAACAGCTTCTAGGATCACTGTGCACTATACCTCTAATCCGCAACTCTTTTTCACTTTTTTTGCAGCACAAGGCATGGTTTTTGGCAATACAGCAAAAATAGAGAATGACAACGGATAGATTTTTCTAGCAAGCCTTTGTATAGAGAAAAAGCGAGTGCCGCTTTTGATAGGAAAGCATTATCCTGATGAACTGACCTATTTCAGAATATACTCGTTCACACCGCTGTTTCTGACAATCTACACTGTAATAGGATCCCATTGCAATAATGCTCTTCGTATGTGACTATCGCCAGGTAGTCGGCAATCTCAGAAAACACGTACACCTCATTGCTAAAGTCGCAGCGAAACTGTTTGGCAAAGCTATGGTGGCTGAAGGCCTATCGCCTTCAACAACACCAATAAGCAAGGACTATCGAACAGGATGGGCGGCAACCACAGCGTTCTATTGAATTTTTCTGTCTTTGTGAAGAATGAACGTTCTCGTTCCGGTTATCATCCAATCAACTACTACCAAAGCTTTTTACGCAGTGTACTTTTTTCCTTTGATGAACTGCTAAAGACTATTTCACTTTTTCGCTCGAATAGCAGTTATCTATTTCAGCGTTCTTGATTTTTTCACTTGATCCGTCCGCCTGTCCATATTCGAAGTTGTTTCTGCACATAATCTCTTGCTTTGAACATTACAGTTGAGCGATATGAAATGATTCACTTTCTTATCTATTTTGTCTTGTGAATGAACATTTCAAGCGCACAAACCTTCATCAAAAGGATCTGGGTATTGCGCTAGGAAACGAAAGTCATGTTGTGATGAGGAATAGTTGTGAAAAAGGGAAGGAAATCGTTGAAAACGTTGAAAAGTGCACCGGAGTTGGGAATATAAGGCGGAGCACATCTTGCTGTTTGAAGAAGGATTTCTTGATAAGATTGTAGGTCGAAGAAGAGGAATCATAATTAGTGGAAACATTGCGGATTTCCTATGGGCCACGCAGTTCCCCGGAAAGGACATGCCTTCGACGACCTGGCATGGGCCTCCCGCGGCGCTATCGGCGCGCAACGCCCATCGATTAGCTAGCCATTCACCGAGTAGTGGTAAAGAAATTCTTCAATATTCAATTCAAAAAATATAACACTTCTGAGAGAAGGATGCCATCAAAGTCAAATCGCTCCTTGCTGTGAGAGCTCTTTCTCTGTTCGAATGTCTTAGAGAAAGCTTACCAAGTTATGCTGCTACCGTTTGACACAGTGTAAGTTGCCTTTAAATGGCCTCAGATGATATCATCACTAACTAGTCATTATTACTTATCATTACCACTTAACAAGCATGGAAATGACAAATGGAAGGGCATCAAATTCACTGGTCAGTGTTAGTTTTAGTTTTTTTTTCTGATCGTCTACCGTCAGTTTATTTCTGTTCGTGCCTTTGTGAGCTACAACACATCCGCATACGATTCAACATATCCTTGCCCACATCACAGCCCAAATCTATCACTGTAAGCCAGCACTCATCGCTGAGTAAGAAAAATATTCTGCCCTGTTTATTAGTCACGAGCTGATGAATAACACTATAATGCGTTTCATAAATCCAGACAGACCCCAAAACCTTACACAAATAAATTTAGACAGATCAATATGGTGAGAGAATCTGGTGGAAATCATGAAACAAATACTCGTAGTTTACGAACCTGAAATCGACAACAGTCGTGTAATATTATCAGTCATTAGTTTAGGTGATAACTTGTTTTCTCCGTATGTTATCAAGAATAGTTCTCGATCACGAATCAGAGTATTCCTTTCCCTCCCCCCATATCACTACTAAATTTATACTGCAGTGGTGGATGTTTGCTGAACAGTTATAGTAGTATTTTCCCGGCGCAAAGGTGTTGCAGTGGCAAGCGTGGCACACTCGAGTTTCATGGATCGAAACAAGCTCAGGCCAACTGCTTTTCCAGCTCTCCGAGGTCGATTAATTGGTAGTAGCCAAATTTGAGTGAGAAAGAGTGTATAGGGTATAGGCAGGCCATTGCAAGTTATTGAATGGAACCAACCGATTTCAAATACAATGATTCTGGATGGAGTTACAGCGAGTGGCGCCTTGGAGGTCTCAACATTAGACGCTCAAGCATCGTAGGTGAGGTGAAGCCGGGACTGGATTGGTAAGTAAAAGAAGGCAAAAAATTGCCGTGTTTGTTTGTAAAACGTATGAAGTTCCCTCTCTTACAAGGAAGGTCTTTCAGGATGCGGATTTTTGAAATGGTTTCTGCATGTTGTAGGGGCTCATGCGAGGAACACAGAACCATGATCCATTTTTCCTGAACGCCTCCAGGAATGTCAAAACAGTGGTGAAGAAATGGTCCAGAGTTCGATCCCCGGTGATGACTGAATTTTTGCAATATATTAGGTTGTCGGAAAAGTTCTTGCGCATTTTCTTGTTCACCTTGCAAAATCTTTTGGGATCGTTTTGAAACATTCACTGTTAAACGCATGTGAGCGGTGGTTAATGCTCTCTCCACAGCATTTCTGTCGTAGCATTTCGCAGCGTTTGAAGCTTAAAAATCGCCTTTCACTGAAGGTACGGTACTCGCCGTAAAAAACGTCAAAAAACACGCGAAAAACGCGATTTCGCGTTTTTTTCGTTTTTTCGTTATAACTCGGTTCAAAATTGAGATTTTCAAAATCTGAAAAAAGCATTGAACTCAGCTCGTCGAGTTCTATAAGAATATGCTTTTAAACTTTTAAAAGCCCTACTTCAGATTGCGCCATGCACTCGAGCTTTGGCTCGAGAAAAAATTGTTTGAATGTGGTGCGCATATAATGTATGTGCGACTGCTCCCGCTTTTATAAGCCCACAAAATGCGTCGATTGAAGCGAAGCAGTAGGAGTTCTACGTGTTGTGATGGACCTCCGGACTATCTTTCACAATATGCCAATTATTTGGTTGCCGAGTTCCAGATACTTGAGAAAAAACCACAAATCTGGTCGACCATTGACGAGTGTATTCTGAATTCGATTGGAGAGAAGTGCACGGTAATTGGCGGAGCTCTTTCAGTGCTACCAGACCACAATGGCCGTTCCTCAATATCGCCTCTAAAAGAAGTGAAATTATGGCGAAAGGATATTTTGAGATCTGACTGACCACAGGCTATTGAGACCATTAAATTTTGCAAGGACATTTTGATTTGCCGCCCGTCTATCGCTTGATCTTTGTTGGTGGTGTCAAGAAGTGGGATCCTCAGATAAACCGCACGCGAAAGCACGACTGTCAGGGATGCGTAAACTGTTTCGCTCACGGAGAGCTGCTGCCAACGAAGTCCACTGCTGGTGAACAATAATGTTAGCAAGTGGATTGGTTTCCCGGCATGGTGCCCGGAAAATCGGAGAAACTTTACTTTATGTCGGCAACGCTCGCCCACGAATTACGAAGAAGGTTCAGGAAAGGTCTCCAGGCTCGTTATAGAATGATCTGACCCACTTAGTGTGTACAGCAAACCTGGTAGAGACGGGCTACCATACGCTTCTGTTGCCGTCGAAGGTACTGAAATAGGGGCAGTTCGATGATCCGGACCTACTCGGAGTCAACCTCTTTGAGCTTTTCGCCCCAAAGACTCGGGATTTCTGAAGGGCCGGCAACCTGAAGTTGCCTGCTGAAGAGCAATGTTTCGACGATTATGGTGGTGTATGTATTCAGCAATTGTTGGCTGCACTAAAGAAGAAAAACAATTTTGAAAAAACATTGTCCAAATGCGCAAAGAACTTACCTAACAGTTTGAGCGCCCCCAGATTGCCGCCAAATGGCGCCATCGTCGAGAATAGATGTCATGTCGTGTTTGCGGCAATTTGGAGGCGCCAACAT